CTTAGAGGCTTGAACAGTTTCGGTTCGATTTAGACAGTTTTTAGTCACAAAATGGCATACTTTAAACGCATTATTCACGCAAAGTTTTACCCCGATACAATCATTGTTGCTTGATTTGCATAGAGGACAGTTAAAGAATCAAAATTTAAACTGGTGTTACATGGGAAATAAGCGTGGTTGTAATCCGATTTCGCCCATTTTCGCACTATAACATAGAAATATGAGAAGAATGTTATGTACCGAATTTGGTTGCATTTGGTGAAGCAGATCCCATGATATGGGTTTTCACTGTCCACTGTCTAATTTTGAAGTCGGTTCCTATAAAGTCATCTCATACCATCCCAGATATAAAATTTAATGTCTCTGCCGTGTTTAATGCTTGATTTATCGCGCTTTAGTAGTTTTTAACAGTACCGTTATATGGGAAGTGGGAGGGATTGTCACCCGATTTTCATACTGTCGATAGAGGTGCTAAAAACATTTGTTCGCAGTGAATTTAGTTATTATAGCTTTAGCGGTTTAGAAGATATGCACATTAAACGTATTAGGGGGCATGACCACGCCCACTTAAAAAACAATTTAAACTGCAGATGCCCCTCCCTAATGTGATCCTGTGTATCAAATAATAATCTTGTATCTTATTGTGGAGCAGAGTTGTGGCAATTTATTTGTTTTTGATTAATGGCGTGTGGCGTTTTGTGGGCGTGGCAGTGGTCCGATTATGCCCATCTGCAATACCAACCGTCTTACGGTACCAAGAAACATGTGTACCAAGTTTCATAAAGATATCTCAATTTTTACTCAAGTTACAACTTGCACAGACGGACGGAACGAACGGACAGACGGACAGACAGTCACTCGTCTTCATCCTGATCATTTATGTATACATAACCCTATATCTAACTCGATTAGTTTTAGGGGATACAAACAACCGTTAGGTGAACAAAACTATTATACTCTGTAGCAACAGGTTGCGAGAGTATAAAAATATTGTGTAACTCTTCAACATGCATTATTCGAAGAAACCGAACGGATAACAATCAAATTTGGTATCTTATTAACTTATACAAGTATTAATGTTCATCGACTCATTTAGTTTTATTACTGCAGCTTGCTTATCAGGACTATATATTGCGTATATTAGGGCTAAGTGTGGATCTGGACTTATTGCATTAACGTTTGGCATTACTCAAATATACTTGAAAACTTGTTTTCAAGCAATTTTGTGTAGATAATTCACTCACTGACCAACATATTGGCAATATAAAGTCTGCTAGAATAACGAAAATTATGATATGTAGAATATGGGCGCTGGGATAATTCTTGGACCAATTAAATTTTACTACATCTTACATAGTGACCGATATATACGCTATAAATTCAACCCGTAATTTGGAGTACTAAGGGTACTTTGTTATCTATTGTAGGCACAAGGGCATAATGTTATTAAAGGAAGACGCTATTTGAATTTCCTTAACATATCTTACATATTGATCCGTATATATGGTTTAAGTCAATATGAAGTACGAAGTATTAAATATATGGCGGCTAGAGGAAGTATTGGCCCGACTTTACCCAATTTGGACACAAGCGCATGCTGTTATAAGAAAAAGATTCTCTCCAAATTTCACTAATATATTTCACATTTTCCCCGATATTTTTGGTAAAAAGTCAGCCATATGCACTGGGTTCTACAAATTCGCCGTCTGAAACCTTGAAATATGGAATACTACTGAATACTACTGAAAAATCTCAAGCCTTTTTGAGATGAAATAAAATGTTGGGATGTGCAACTTAAATAAAAAGTGGCAATTGCCTGTGCCTAAACGAAAGGAAAATCTCCGGTTAAGTTAAAAGACATGCGTTCGCGAGTGTGGTTTTATTACAATAGAATTCTTTATTTAAGTATATTATAATTTAGCCTAAACCTTAACCTAACGGCTTAAACTAGTGGTAAGTATGTATTACAAGTAGAAAAAGGGTAAGTATAAGTATACATATTTCAACAGTTTCGTTAATTCATTGTAAAAGATTATTGTAATAGATAATGTGGTCTGTAATAAGTATAATATAGTAAAGGTAAGTATTTTTATAGCATAAAACATTTATAATTCATTTCAACATTATTCAATTAATCTTTATTTATTTTTTAAGTTTATTTTTAACATATTATATATTTTATTTTAGATTCGAAAGATGCTTGACGCAACAACTACTATTTGAGTAATTTTTTATTTCAATTACGTAATTGTTATACATGGGAAGTAGGCGTGGAATGGAATTTATGTTATGCACCAAATTTGTGTCAAATCAGTCGAGTAGTTCTTAAGATAGGATTTCACGCCCACCCTGGCGGCCCATAGTCTAATTTTGATACCGACTCCTATGAAGCCTTTCAGTGCCATATAGTATGTAAAATTTAATGCTATTGGCGTATTTATTTAGTGAGTTATCACACTTTTAGTAGTTTTCAAGATAACCGTTATATGGGCAGTGGATATGGTAATCATCAGATTTTATCCATTTTCAAAGCATCGGAGGAGGTATTATAAAGATTTTCCCTGAGCGAATTTGGTTATTATAGCTCAAATGGTTTTGAAATATGTACATTAAACTTATTAAAGGGAGCGGCCACTCCCGTTTTTTAAATTTTTTAAACCACAAATGCTCTGCCCAACAGTTATGTATATTAATTTATAACTTAGCTATGGCATTTTATAGTTATTCGATTAATGGGATTTTATAGGCGTGGAAGCGATCCGATACACCCATCTATCTAACCTTATCATGGTGGCAAGAAACACCTGTACCAAGTTTCACCAAGATATCTCAATTTTTACTCAAGTCACAGCTTCTACGCACAAATGGACCAACAGACAACAACATGTTACGAGAGTATAAAAATAAATATGTAGATATAAGTGTACATGGATATTTATATTGCTACTAGCTTTTCCCGAGGCTTCGCTCGCATTGAATTCCTTAAATAAATATAAAAGATTATTAACAAAAAAAATAAATAAATACATAGCATGTACACGAATACTGTACTCGTACCTCGATTATCATCTTTTTGTTGGTGGTGATAACCAGAAAAGCCCAATTTTGTATAGTTTACAGCAAACAATCATAGTTTCCATAGTTAAAATTTTCTTCGATAAGGGCGAAAACGCAAGCCAAGCGGCTGAAAATGTGAATAGCGTTTATGGTCTTAATACTGTAAAAGCCAATCATGCGCATGTTTAGTTTCGCCGATTCCGTTCCGGTAATTTCGATGTCAAAATCGCACCACCCTCTGGAAGACCAATTATCGAAAAAACCGATCAAATAATGGAAATCGCCGAGTCCAAACATCGATTCCGATTGTCTAGGACTTAACCATTGCACAAAAAACCGTTCGGAACCATTTGATTTCATGCGAAAATAATGGATTTCCTTTTACTACACCAATATATAATAATCGTATCGTATGCACGGTACTTTTCAAAATAAATCTGTCATTGTTGCAGTCAAATGGTCTACGGTTTCAAAATAAAATGCAATATGTATACATAAATTCCTTACCATTTATATACACAAAGTAAAATGTAAGCCGTACTAGTTAAATAATTTTTGTACGTATATACGTGAACTAATCCCTCCGATATCGAACCACTATAGCATATAGCTATCATACCAACTGAACGATCGGAATCAAGTGCTTGTATGGGAAAATTTTGCTTTTGACGAGATATCTTCACGAAATTTGGCATGAGTTATTGTCTAAGGCAATAATCCGAATCAAATTCTTGCAAGGAACCTTTTGTATTTGTGAAGGGTATTATAGCTTCGGTGCAACTGAAGTTTACGTTTTTTATTGTTTTTTTCCATCAAATTGTCATTGGATTTGACACAATGAAACACCATGTGAAAGATATTTCTAAATAAGAATTCAGCTGAAATAAAATTACAGTTCTAAATAGTTGAACGAGCAGTTTATAAATATTCATTACAAAAATGTTGTTATTATTAGTGGTATATTCATAATTACTTGCTAAATTTTCATATCAAGACAAGCGTGGAGGTAAGTACATTTTTTTTTAATTATTATAAAAATTGGATGCAATATATTATGTATATCATATCATACTTTTATTATTTGAAGTTAAATAAATAATTACTAATTTACAACATTTTGCAGGAACATACTTGTATAATAACAATGTAAGCATTGGTTATATCCGAAATATTATTGTGCTAATTCGGTTACAGCGGCCACTTGTGTAATTAGTTCATTCTTGATTTTCCAGATTTTGATGAAAAAATCTGTCCCCAATGCCACAATAAGGTAGAAATCACTAATTGTAAGAAAAATATATTGAGTCGAAGGAGAGTGTGAGGCGTGTGCAAATAATTTAATGACATGTTTCTCATATGCATCACTTTTTGAACGTTGCATTGGGTTTTTAATAAGGCTCAGTTCATTTCGTTTTGTTGCTTGCTTCAGTATTTAAAATTTTCTACAGCATTAAGCATTTAAATAAACAAATAAACCAAAATTGTAGATTTTTAATATCCGATCAGCAGATCATGTTTATGCTAATAAGAAGAAAACATACTAGTACTTGTTATGCCTAAGATGCATCCCAAAACTGTTTACACTGCACATGCATACAAGCATATGAGTGTGACACTGGTATGTGACCTACTTAGCTGGTGGTTCAACACCCACCCAGCAGCAAGCTTGATTTTTCTAATAAAAAATTCAAAGAGAAATTTACATTCCAAACGAAGAGAACATAATACCCGCGAAAATAAATATCAAACGGATAAAAAGAGAGTTAAGAATATGTGATAGAGGCTATCACCAAAATACCTAAGCATTGCAACTTTAATTAGCTTCAGTGTCAAAAAAGTATGTAGTTAATATTGTGGATAATAAAACGTAATGATAAACGGTGATTTTGACTAGAACATTTTGTCCCCCATGTTCTTTTATGCGTATGTAAACAGCTACAAAATCTATTGCAAATACATTTTTTATTTACATACAATATATGGTATTGCATCCGCTGTGCCTTTTTTGGACACAAACTGGTCCACCTCTGGTTACACTAACTCCTATTGTCGCTACACGCTTACACATTCAATTAGCTATTCTAAGACTTGGTTTTATGCACCGAAGCAACAGCAAAGTCGGCATCAGTGTCAACGCCAACACCAGTTATGGCACCACAAGACCTGACAGAAGCAGCAGGAATCCACATAAACAGCAACAACGATAGACAAACACTTAGTGGGCACCTTCGATTTTTCCCCCAAGCAATAGCGGTTATCTGCAACACGACGATGGAGAAGTGAGCAAAGTTTGAATTTTGTTGAAATTTGTAATGTAAAGCACTAAAGCAAAAATAGCAACAACCAACCGAGCTGACAAAAGACTATGTGTGTAACTTGCATTTCGTAGTAAAAAATCTGAGAGACGTGTTGTGGTTTTCGGATTTCATCTTGCCACAACCACACGCTCGTACATACAAACACTGACAACAACATATCACATCATTTGTGCGGTTGGTTGATTGGAGTACTGACTAGAGCTGACTGGTTGGATAGGTTTCATGGCATTTGAAAAACTGGTCCCGTTTACTCTTAGCTCATAGCCAGCCAACGTAATCCAATACGGGTTAATCATGGTGGCTTCTTAAGCGTTGCCTTTTCTACTACATCGTTGTCCAACATTTGCGTCTAATTTACAAATTAAATAGTGACTAATTTCTTGATTATTGATTGCACTCAAGCGTTAGTGGAACGCCAATCATATCTAATTGCTGTATTTGTTTAAGTTTCGAAAGCGCGCCGCTTACTACTGCGCTGTAGTCTCTTCTTTTTTTGTTCCTTCCAGTAGTTTTGATAATCGCGCTATTTTATTAAAAGATGCAACGAACTTCGCATAAAATGCATGGGTGGAATGACAATATGTTAAGTATACAAACAGGAACTCGACAAAACTATTTTGGTATTTGCTGAAGTAGAAATATATCTGTGAATAATATATACACATGTATGTACCTTAAAATATTTTTTAGACAAAAATTATGAAATGTAAATTAAATTGAATTTAATAAAAATTGTAATTGAATTGAATTTAACAAATTTAATAAAGAAAGTATAACATTTGTACCAAATAAAAGTTAGGAGAAAGGTTTTTTCATTATTGCTCCCTAAGAAACGCAGTGCCAAGACATAACATAATTTTTGTATCATCTCATCATAAGAATGGAAACTTACACCCATTATTTTATGAAACCGTGTACACTTTTATTGATATTATTAAAAACAGTTAGGTAATTTAATACATTTTTCGCAATTCGATTTATTTTTAATTTGTTTTTGCTTTTTATTAAATAAAACTTTTAATAATCTTCTTTCCCTTCGTTATGATTCAATCAATTTATGGCTAATTCGCAAAGCATAGAAATTAAATGGTCACGTGTTAGGCACGAGCCTTTATGAAGACATGAAAATCGGGGGAACTGAAACTCAAATATATGTATGCCTTGTGTTTAAATAATTTAATTATTTTTAAAAAAAACATTAGGGTGGCATATTAAAGTGCAAATGGTTCGAATTCACTTTTCTTTCAAATTTAATAGGGGATAAAAGATAAATTCTAGTTTAACCTCAGATACAGGGTCCGCCAACGGATTAGTATTGATTTCAAAAAAACATAACTCGATCATTTTTGCAGATATATTTTTATTTCTGGTCTTAAAATGTTCCCAAGAAGGGGGATTTTTATGATAAAGTCACGTTCTGAAGTTCACGTCGAGCATATGGCGGCCATCAGCAGTAATGCATGAATCGAGTCTCGAGATGAAGCTCGTAGCCACACTGCACAACATGGCCCGAGGGATTCGTTCATGATGGCCTCCTTCAACTCGTGCAGGGTCCTCGGCTTTTCTCTGTAGACTCTCTCTTTTAGGTATCCCCACAAAAAAAAGTCGCAAGGGGACAGATCTGGGGACCGGGGGGGCCAGGAGACATCACCGCGTCGAGAGATGAGGCGACCAGGAAATTTTTGGCGGAGGAAGGTCATTGTGGCATTTGACGCAAGTCGCTCCATCCTGCTGAAACCAAACATTTCTCAATGGGATATGTTTTCGTCGGAGTTGAGGGATAAAAAACTCATTCGACATGGTGAGATAACGATCGGAGTTCACTGTGACTATCACACCGTTTTCTTCAAAGAAATAAGGTCCAATGACTGTATTCTTCCCGACGGCACACCACACTGTAACACGAGGGCTGTGCAGAGGCTTTTCATCAAGTTCTCTTGGATTTGCTGCCCCCCAGTATCTGAAATTTTGTCTGTTGACGAATCCATTCAGGTGGAAATGCGCTTCATCACTCGTGAAAAGAGTGATGTTGTCGTTGTCGTTGAACACCGATTGCATTTGCTCACAAAACAACTTACGCTGGTCGTAGTCCTCTTCTAACAATTGCTGGGTTATCACCAACTTGTATGGATGGAATTTGAGGTCCTCCTTCAAAATTCGACGCACAGTTGTCTGAGACAAATTAAGATTGGACGCACGAAGTCGGACAGAACGGTTGGGGCTCTGGAGGGCAGCGACCCTGACTCTGTCAATATTCTCCGGAGTTCGTGCAGTTCGATTTCCTCCCGTTCTTCTTTTCATAACACTTCCCGTTTCGTTAAAATTGTTCACCCACACCACTATTAAATTCCGATTGGGGATAGTCCCGCGGTGGGGAATGTTAAAATGCCGACGGAAGTCACGCTGAGTCTGGACGATCGATCCGTTAACCAAGAAACGACTTACGGCGAAAACACTTTGCTGCATGGTCCAAACCATCTTGAGTACTGACCTGAAAAAAACTCCCCTTCGTTGTGAATACAATGAGACCAACCCCACCACTCTGAGGGGCCCAGACGCCGAGTACTACCCATTTGAAAAACATACTAATCCGTTGGCGGACCCTGTATTATATATAAAATAATATCCACATACATTCGTAATATAATGTACTTAAGCGATATAGAATTTAATAGAGGGATGGTTGTCAAAGCAGTTAACCAAATAAACACATGTTAAACATACTTTACTAAATTACCATAAACGGGGCTTACAACGAAACAACGTAAGATGTTCCATCTTTGCCCATACCAGCGGTTAGGGAAATACCACATTTCTAAAAATGCAGATGAAACCAAGGATACTCTCAATGTTCAAAGATCCAGACAATGCAACGCTGCCACAAGCCAAAAAATATGAGAAAGGCACTTTATTGCGACAAACTTTCATTGATCGAATCATACCGAGAAAAAGGTCTCTCAATTAGTCACCTAGGTCTGGAAATTTATCAATGCAGAGGCGGCGCATGAAGAGGAGCAGGAGTAGGTCAACTCGTGCATAAACATTTTTGTAATTTTTTGTGATAACACAGTTAACATTTCTTGATTAAAGTCAATAGGTCATTAAAGTAAGACATTCGTAGAACGTTGTATACAATTTTCGTGAATAATTAGATATAATATATAAAATAATATTTAAAAATATACGGCAATGGCAACAATCATTCAAAAATGTTGTCTCAGAAAAAAGTAGGATTGCGGTGCCCCTGATACCTAGTTGCTGGATCAAAAAATCAAAGTTCATTCTTAAATAATAGTTTTCCCCACGCCGATACGGTTTTTTTTTTTTTTTGGAAGACGTTGAAGCAAATTACGCGATTTTTTGCGAAAAAATCGTATAATGTGTTATTGTAAAAGAAAAATTGTTAACAAATTGAAAAAAAACTCTCAGGTGTTACCTTGTAAAGTATGTACAGAACGAGTGTTCAAAACATCAAACGGATCAGTGCAGCAGATTTGAAGTTATGAAGGACACCGACTTTAAAAACGTTAGTTATGGGGAAAAATGCTTTGAAGTTTTGAGCACTAACAAATTGATGTAAAACATTAAAATCTGTAATAAAAGTCAAATATTAGAATTTTTAATATGTTTGAATATTCTGTCACATTCTTTAACATGCCCACAATTAATTAATTCGCTAATAACTTAAGATATTGTAGAGAAATGTGAGGCGTCCTTTTGTACCACAGAGCGAATTATGAAGATGCGTAACCTTAATATTAATTAATTTAGATTAAAAAAACTTAAACAAAACAAATTGCGCTTCATGCGATAAACAAAAAAAAACAGCAACTTAAAAAAATTATAGTGACGTAATCGCTTATTTTCTGTTATGCACAAGCGGCTCATCATCCCACCATCACAAGATTTCGTCATACACATAGAGAGCAAACTGAGAGTGAAATTGCAGAAAAAAACATATATTTGCCAATAATCAAAAGTAGCTTAGGTTGAAGTGGATAATTTGAGCTATTCGACCCACTTTTTTGAGATCAGAAGATGATGTCATGTTTTATTTTAAACAGTACCTTGGAATCGGCAGTTAATTCGGCGATCTAACGTAAGTAATAAGTTAAGTTTGTCATGATTGGACCTACATCTTGCTCAGTATTCGCGATGACACTGAGTCCAACGTGACAACGGCTTTAAGACACATAGGAAGTGGACAAGTTAAGTGGCCCCATGCTGTCAACGCCCTACTGCGACTCCAGTCTCTACGGTCCTAGTAGCTTAAACAGGCAGCATGACTACAGGTGCAACAACAACCACCTACACGCCACTCCCTCACCCTAGACACCCCCCCGCGACAAACTCGATTACTGCAATTTAAATGCAACGGACTCCAGAGTAAGAGCGAGAAAATAGTTGCAATCATGAGCCGGGAGCGCTTATCGATTACTGCAATCCAAGAAACAGCCGCTCATATGTTCTAAATTGTGCAGGTTTCAGCGGTAACGTAAAGATCGTGAGCTAGATAATCTTGGAGGCCTAGCCTTCATACTGCACAACACTGTACAATGTCGTCTTACCGTTGGCGACATCGACCCCAGGGATACTATCCTCGAATGTCAGGGTATAGCTATCCGGTCAGGCGATGTCAAGCTCGAAATATTTAAAATACATATGAATACATCCCCCTGTTACATGTTGCCCAACAGGATATTACCCGAACATAGGTGCGCTATTTTGTGAAACCCTTTTAGTACTAGGCGACTTTACGCATTACGATCTTTGACACTCCTGCCTGTTAAACGATTGTAGGGGATTGAACTGTTGGAACAGACACATTCGATATTCTGCACAATCAATGACGAAAACCTTACCAGAATTATGGGCCGGATATTACCATCGCTAGTGGTGGCCTGATAAATAGCACAACCTGAGAGCCTATGCGAACCCTCGTATCAGACCTTAGTTAACTTTAACAAAGCCAGCTGGATCGGTTTTACAGAATTTACCGCGAAATCTTGTAACCTCTCCACCGGTTTGAGTAAGCTTTGGAGTATTGCGAAGGCCTTATCAAATCCGAAGAGACATGTCGACTGGATTGAAATCCAATTCGATGGCCATGCCTGTCCCCCCCAACCTGTCTGTGATCACTCTTCAAATGCCCCAAGAGTGAAAAGTCGGAAGAGTGGTCCCACTACTCAAACCTGGGAAACCCGTCAACAAAGGGGAGTCTTATCGTCCGATAACTCTCCTTTCCTTAGTAGTGAAAACATTTGAGGCCTTGCTTTTCCCGACGTTCACTCACGACCTGAGTCTAGCAGACCACCAGCATGGTTTCCGCAAAGTGCACAGCACCACCACAGCACTTAGCGTCATAAACGCCCGGATAGTTCATGGCGTATACCAAAGCCACTCTGGGAGAGGACGTTCCTCATAGCGTTGGACTTGTCAGAAACTTTTGACGCACAATGCTACTTGAGGACATAGAACCATCCACGCTCCATCAATGGTTGAAGAGGTATACTATGAACTACCTGCGCGGTCGGCAATCCGTACTGTTTCGAAGTCAAAACTATAAACTAAGAAGAATTAAACATGGGGTCCCGCAGGGTGGTGTCCTCTCCCCGTTACTGTTTAATCTCGAAACTCTCTCAACCACAAGAGATAATTTCCATCACCTCGTACGCTGATGATTGCACGATATTGACGTCAAGCAATAAAATCGATGACATGTATTCAAAACACTCTCCCCCACTAACTCCACACCGACCATATTCACGAACTGGACGAAGGAGTACACTGGATCTTAACATTACAGTCGATAGCATTACAATTCCGACTGTCAATAATTCTAATATTTTAGGTGTAACATTTTTAAGTGTAACAGTCATGTTCTCCAACTCTGGCCACGAACTGTAGCCTACTGGATTGAAATCTGGACTTCCAGACGGCCAATCATCTACAGCTATGAAACCAGGAATGTTGCTTTTAAGCTACTACTTGGGTTTTTTTTTTCGTGGATGGTAGGAGATCATCTCGAATAAGTCTTGACATTGATCTGGTGGATATATTCATTTCCTTTGTCATAATTTTCTGTTTTCTAATGGGGGTTTCTGCGAATGCCTTCGCGAAAAATTTTTATGGCTGAATTGGTTCGAGGACGACTTTTTCTTTTTCTGTCATCAACTGTAGACCTTAAGGGGGAATGCGAACAATAGGGTGGTAAACAAACATAATCGAAATATTAAGTTTTTTGAGAAACTCATCAATTTCACTTGTACTTTTTCCACACTTATGTAAAGCAATACGATTTTTTTCAACCCCGGACTCCACTATTTATTTTATTCTCTTTGTATGCATTGTGCCGTTTCAGACAGGGACTCAAAAGAGTCGCATTTTTTTCAAATTTTCTTTTGGTGTCGCTCTGGGCATTCACACGGCCAAAAAGAGTCCAGCAACTCGAGTCTAGTTTTTCTGCATTCCTTTTCACAAAATGTTCGTAAATATTTGTGCGGTTCGACTGCGCAACACCGCGCAACACTGCGTGCTGCGTATTTCATTTGTATGTTGAGATGATGGTCACACATTTTGCTTGCAATGAATTACCATGAATATGGTAGAACAATATGCATAATACAAGTACCTACCCGCTAAATAGTTTCAAAGAGATACTAAAGACGGGAATTTCCTAATCCACAAGAATGTATTGAATATCCGCTACTAATATTTTCAAGGCCAAATTTATAATAGGAATTTCCTAATCTTTAAGTATTAAAAACTCATAATTTCTTTACTCAGTATTAAAAATTCATAATTTCTTTACTCCACAATCTATATCTTAATTTTCTCCTTATTTACAATTTGTCATAATATTTCTATTATTCTATGCATACGTATTTGCATATTACATACAAAAATAGATAACAGAACTCAAATTTGCGATCGAATTCATTTGAAACCGAGCGCTCTTGCAACCATTCAAAGAATTTGAAAGTGAAAAGGAATGCTGAAAAGGGTAGCAGCGAGCTGTTACGAACAAGAACACAAAGCGTGCCACCCGAACACGAGTGGCACGGTCCCTTCGTCTTTCCTCGTCATCCCCTCACCCACAATAAACTGGTTTGAGACTCTTTTGCGTCCCAATGTGAAACGGCACATTGTAAACTTTGTTTTTTTCAACCCCGGACTCCACTGTTTATTTTATTCTCTTTGTATGCATTGTAAACTTTGTAACAGAATTTATAGCAAGACTAAGTATTTACAACGAACATAACAACTTATTTATTTCCTACTTTAGTTAACCGTTTTATTCATTTCAACTGGACTGTTGAAAACTTAACACATATTTTCCTTGTATGGTAAACATATTTGTTGTATTCATTTATAATGGCGAAGCTGCCCTCAGTGTTTCTTATCACATCTCAAGCACAGCCCGTTTACAAATACATTTGTTTTTCGAATTTTCCAAATCTACAAATTACTCGGCCGACTTCATTAATCTACTGAATGAGCGTGTACGTCTGGAAGTCGTGGATGATGTCAGCGTTTATTTTTATATGCTGACTGAGTACTTTGCACTTAAAACCACATAAACGCTTAAATACAGTCATTTTAATATACATATGCAAGGGTTTTAATATAGTTAGTTTTCGAATTTATTTTTAAATAATCTTAACAAGTACTTTAACACAGTTTTGAAAATTGGGGCAAGATAAAAATACAATATAACTGGATATAGTTAAGCTACTTACAAGTAGTTCAAAAATTAATATATTTTAACATAAGTGCTACTCATTTAAAATACAAACGATTGTCCCATAAAAATACATATCCAATTTTTTAATAAATTAAATTAGACACATTCCAAGCACTAGTTCCTCATTCGAGCCCTGACAAATAAAGGCAACGACCTAATCTGTCAAATGTAAATATTGTAATGCGTTCGTTAATCGACACACGGCACAAGTTTATGTAAAAAGCGTTTGAATATTACAATTGTAGAAGCATCGTACATGTCATATGTGCATATGTATGCATTATATATGAAAAACACAGCAATGTACAAGGAATTCTTTAGGTGTGCAAAATAAAACATATTTAAAATCTTTTGTCTTCTCGCTATCTAGAAGTCTAGTGGAATGCACAAAACTCTCTTCTATAATCATACATAAATCGAATTTAAACAAGTAAGGAAGGGCTAAGTTCGGATGTAACCGAACATTTTATACTCTCGCAAAGTCAAATGGTATACTCGTTTGAGATTTCTTTGTGGATTGGCTGATATTTTCGGTAGAAGGTCAACTATAGGCACTGGGGTCCACATATTTAGTACTTAGGGGCTTGAACAGTTTTGGTTCGATTTAAACAATTTTAGTCACAAGGTGGCATACTTTAAACGCATTATTCACGCAAAGTTTTACCCCGATATAATCATTGTTGCTTGATATGCATAATGGAAAGTGAAAGAATCAGATGGAATTAGATTAGATTAGATTATATGGGAAATAGGCGTGGTTGTAGTCCGATTTCGCCCATTTTCGCACTATAACATAGAAATATGAAAATAACGTTATGTATCGAATTTTGTTGAAATTGATTAAGCAGATCTCAAGATATGGGTTTTCACCTAAAAGTGGGCTGTGCCACGCCCACTGTCTAATTCTGAACGCGGTTCCTATAAAGTCATCTCATACCATCCCAGAGATAAAATTTAATGTCTCTGGCGTGTGTAGTGCTTGATTTATCGCGCTTTTAGTAGTTTTTAACAGTACCGTTATATGGGGAGTGGGCAGAGTTGCCACCCGATTTCAACTATTTTCACACCGTCAATAGAAGTGCTAAATATTTGCTTTCAGTGAATTTTGTTATTATAGCATTAGCTGTTTAGGAGATATGCACATTAAACCTATTAGAGGCGGGACCACGCCTACTTTTTAAACAAAAATTTTAACTGCAGATGCCCCTCCCTAATGTGATCCTGTGTACCAAATAACAGTCTTGTATCTTATTGCGGAGCTTAGTTATGGCAATTTATTTGTTTTTGATTAATGGCGCTTTGGGGGCGTGGCAGTGGCCCGATTACGCCCATCTGCAATACCAACCGTCTCACGGTACCAAGAAACATGTCTACCAGTTTCATAAAGATATCTCAATTTTTACTCAAGTTAGAGCTTGCACGGTCGGACAGACGGACGGACGGACAGACCGTCACCCGGATTTCAACTCGTCTCTTCATTCTGATCATTTATATATATATAACCCTATATCTAACTCGATTAGTTTTAGGTGATACAAACAACCGTTAGGTGAAAAAATTATTATACTCTGTAGCAACAGGTTGCGAGAGTATAAAAATACGGTAAGGAAAGGGGAAGATCTAATATCCTAGCGACAAAAGCAAATACTTTGATGCAAGCATTTAACACCAAAACGTCTTTATTTCTGCGGAATACTTTGGAACAATTATAGACTGTACATACGTGCTGAAATGTATTATATCAACAATACGTGCAAAGGAACTTTTTTATCGAGTTACATTATTTGGCACACCAACTTGAGAAGCACAACTTTATTAGGTGGTATCTTTGAATAATTATATAGAAAAAATAAGAAGCATTCGGCAAGCGTTCAGCAAGAAATATTTTCTTTTTAATTTTAAATCAGAATTTCTTATATATATTTTTAACGTCTTGTCTTCACTATTTGTTATTAATGGGTTTATAATTTACATCATTGCTTGTACCAACCTTTATGTATAAACAATTTTATATGACTATGACTTACCAAAACTTTTGCGAAACGCCTATCCAATTCATCTGTAGTTGGCATGGGTTGCTGACTTCGACTGCGAACGCTTGGTTGACGTACATGATGATACTGAGAACTCGGACCGATATCATAATGCAAATCTTGTTTTTGTAAAAAACCACCAGTTGCGGTGGTTATGCCATTTTTGTGTGAAATTGAACAATTTCCGTTGCCCTGATCATGATTATTACCTCCACCGCCTTCCTCTACCAGCGCATCATTGGTAGAGATGTGGCGTGAGCTAACTGCGCCCATTATAGATGCTAAGCGACCAACGCCCTCACCGCCACCTGGTCCTGGTCCGGATACGCCGGAGCCACCACTGCTATCCGCCGATGATGTTACTGCACCACTCCCACCACCGCCAAGCGCTGCGTTTAATGAGGATACAACGGCTTCCCACACTGTCGACTGGACAGTGCGGCACAGCGCACGTGTTTTCTCGGGGCAACTTGATAGTTGCTCTTTCAGTTCGTTAAACAGATCCAAAATTTATCGTTTAAAAAAGCAGATTTTGAAATATTATTATATTGATTGTTACGGCGACTTGAAACGATGTCAGTTAAATATACTTTGATCACTCCTTCGTTTTTAATATGGTTTGAATGGTGGCAACTGCAAGCTGCAAACATGGGTTACTTTAATGATACAGAATACCGATTGTAATTGATGTAATTTATATTGGGATAGAGTAAGAATGATAAATTGGAACATTTTGTTGTTTATTGACACTTCTTTAGAGAAGACAGACCATCCGATTCGCTTTCTGGTATCGTCTCTAAAAATTGGGTTGCCTTTATAAATTAATTTTGAAAATATATTTACACATTTGCCAATACTTCACGATGTATGCTTTTTATAGATTTTAATTCACTGATGATTTTGAACAACAAACGTTCCCAATTTATATAGAATTGACATGCAATAATAATTCAAATCGATTTATTCATTTTCTTTATAGCAAGTGTTGTTAATTGGATATACAAAAAATAAAAGAAAAAACTTTAAAATATTCGTATCTATCTACAAAACCTCCATCATATTCTTTTGATTATTAATGCAAAGATATATACAATAATTAGTAGTCTTCTTATGTACACAATTATCGGTAAATGTATAGTTTAGGTCCCCCAACGAAGGACTCGAAAATTAAAATTTTTTTTAATCTTCTTATTTTGACGCGAAGATTACAAACCTGGGGTCGGCTTTAGTATACCGTCCCAGGCTTTCGTGGATAAAATGGGTATGGGCGGATAAAGGAGATCCTCCAGATCAAAAATACATATGTATATAGATATAGCTGCGGAAAACTTATCGAGATATTTACGTTCAAGATTGAAAATTTCTACTATTTAAAGTACGCATTTTTTCGATTTCAAATGAGTTATACACTCATATTTTTAACTTTTATATCCACTTATTGTTGATAGACACTAATAAATCTTTTAGTTTCCTTCACTTAATAGCCGCGGACTGATCATGAGATCGCGAGATTGTACACTTACATTTCTTCAGTATTTTTTCTTCACAAGAAAATGTCTAAAGTTACAGCTAAGTGATCTGAATTCTGTAGCTACAACAACAAAAACAACTAAGTTATTTGAAAAAAATTTGCAGTGTGTTAAATATATAAAAGTATACATAAATTATTGAAAAAATTCACTTTCCGCTCACGGATTTGTAATCTTCGCGTCCAAATACGACGATTTAAAAAAAAATATATATTATTTTCGCGGCCTCCTTCATTGGGGGACCAAACTATTCATTTACCAAAGATTTAATCCAAAAATTCGATGCTAAGAATTCCTAATTGGGGAAAACTTTAGTATAACGTCCCACGCTTTCGGGGATAAAATGGGTATGGGCGGATAGAGGAGATCCTCCAGATCAAGAATATATATAGATATAGCCGCGGGAAACTTATAGTTTTCGAGATATTTAGGTTTAAAGTTCAAAATTTTGACTATTTAAAGTACGCATTTTTCCCATTTCGAATGAGTTATACACTTATATTTTCCACTTTTATATCGACTTGCCCTTAAAACACCGGTCGTTGCATACACCACTACCAGACAGCAGACCATTGTATAAATCTACTTTCTATATAGGCTTATACAATGCAGCAGACTATGAGTTCTAAGTATGTACATTGAATGCATCGCCTTTATGTATCTCGCAAAACCGCTGTCTGGCTTTTGGTGCTGATGTGCATCAGCCAAACGAAGTAAAATACATACTCTTACATTTGTATATTAAATAAGCAATTACCGAATTCGTTGGACCGATGAACTCGGTTTACTCACGCACATACAATTTTCACAACCACTCAAAAATATGTACCACTAAATTAAGCACATTTAATTCACTTAAATTTCCAACTAAATATACTTTGAATGAATTCGTTATTGTCGTTGAGCTTATTTTGCAATTTGCATTCACATATTTTATGTTAATGCTTACTTCAGCATATCTTTACATAAAAGAGAACGTGTCCCGGCACTTATTTCCACTTTATTACTTTTTATTTTATTTTTATTTTTTGGACACCAACAACAAACAATAACCACTATTTCACTACTATCCCACGAAAATAAATTACTTTAACACTCCGACACAAAACATGCACTGACAATTGGATTGGAAAATTCAATTGAAATTTCATTCGCGTCACAATTGTAAAACCTTTGTTAGTTTGTGGTGAATTAGTTATAATTTTCACGAGATTGCTTTTTGACCACATGTCATTGTGAATAACTTCTTCTTTATGAACTTCTGTCATTTGAATCATCGTAAATCATCACCTTATACCAGAGAACGTATATCATAGAGAAGGTTCATGGTGTGCCGATTGTCAAAATGTTCGTCTTGACGAAGGTTTACTTAGAGAACTTAAAACAAGTTGTTCTAAGTTCTCTGGTTTGCTCGCCAACATTAGAGGATTTCACCACAAACATATTATAAGCGGATTTCATATATGTTCTCTGATTAAACTAGGAGACACAGTGTGTCGTCAACAGCTGTTAATACCAAATTACTGGAAGTGTGTTAATGTATAGAGAACAAGAACAGAGATCGTATATTATATGATATTATATGATATACATACGTTGTCTGCTATAATTACCAAATTACTGGAAGTGTGTTAATATATAGAGAACAAGAAAAGAATTCTAAAGATTAATTTCTTATTATAGATTAAACTTCTGGGTTTACTTTTTCATCGATACGGTAACTTGATTTTTTACATTCTATCTTCAACATTGCAACTCTGGGCAGATGTTCTTCATTCACAAAAGTTTAGATTTGACTTAATCGCTTTTGTTTCTATTGTTTTTTCAAAACTCTTTCATTACATTCATATTCGCGCGTGTAATTTTTAACATTGAAATTTGTCAATTAAAATTTTATCACTAAATTTTGCAAAATATATATAATGTCTCGAAATTATACATCCCCTTATGCGAAGCAATTACATCAATATCCTTCTCAATCAGAGGATTACATATCGCTAGAAATAGGCGGTCCAGGTAAGTGTTCCACGCCCGCACGACCACATTACAACAACCTGAACACTAAAGGCAGCGGTGGAAACTTTTATCAGAATAAGCATAGAGGTGGTGGAGGTCGACAAAATCGGTTTTCGGGTGGATGGCAAAATAACCGGCAGAGCACTAGCGGATATGGAATGCAATGGCAACAGCAGACACCGCGAAACTGTGACTCTGCGGAGTGGCAATGGCGTGGTGGTGGACACAGACAACCGAACAATGTTAGTAACAAATATATAAAATACATTTTTTTAATTCCAGTCCACATTTATTTCTAGAGCCAATCTTTTAATAGCAAAGTTAAAGATGTATCGGCGTACGTACATCAGTCTATGCTGGAAGATCCATGGAAGGACTTAATAGAAAGACGAAATGCGATCAAACGAAGCGAGATAAACCTGCCCACTCCTGCCCAACAAAATGATCAAACTACAAAATTTGCAAGCACGGAAAAAAGCGTCAGCGAAGATATTGAAGCTGATATGAATAATGCTGGTTATGAAGGTGAAATTGTTACAGGGAGTCCGTAACACTAATGAAATTTTTACTATATGCTTAAAAAAGAAACGAGATTTTAATGAGTTTAGATATTATAAAATACTAAAATTGTAAAACATTAATTGAGGCAATTTACATTTTAAACTTAAACAAGCATAACTACTGCGGTTATAATCCATAGTTTCCTTTGCTTAAATAACCATATATATATATATATATATATAATGTTACTAAAGCAAGGTACCTTACGACTCTGGTAATATCATTTTGATTCCGTTCCTAACTTTCGTAATAAAATATATAAAGTAATACAATCATTTATAATCAAAAATATTTTGAATGGTTCTTAACATTTTGTATTTTTGTATTGTTACCTTTAACAATAATTGTCTCCTTTTACTAACAATTACATTTACATAATAGTAATATAAGTAACATAAAACGCACTACACAACTGCTACTGGCTCAAATTCTGCTAGATAAGATCAACGAAGTTTCGCGTTTAAAGAAATTCATCAGAATTTTATATTTGGAAATTAAAAAATATGTGTAAAGTTAAAAAATTGTACTAAATTGTTATTATGGGTTTTTAAATTTGTATTTTGGTCTGTTCCATGTAAAACGTTTGGAATTATTTCCATTATATTTATTTCATGACGTGAGGTGAGTTATTAGCAACTTAAGTCTAAATCACTTAATTAGTTCATTGATTACTAGTAAAAAAATATGAAAGTGGCTTGTTGCTTTTATAACTCAAGTTGCTTTAATACTATTTATGGTGATTATGTTGTTGCTTTTGAATATATTTTTCCCAGTCTCCGCTTAAACAGTTATAAATTTTCATAGCAGCACGCGCGTCCTCGACGGAATTGTGCTCTCCTATTTGTATTTCCATACCTAAAATTGCTTGGCTAAGAAGTTTAAGGCTTGGAGTTCGTCCATTCGAAACTAGGCGACATAATGGCTTATATCGGGCAGTGTCGCGTATATTTCTATATGGATGCTTTATGTGTAATACAGCCAAATCGTTGCGGATAGCATGGCCAACAAGAATTTTACCCTGAAGTAATGCAACAACTTCATCCTGAACCAAATGAAAATCTTCGCCATTTTCGATGTCTTTAGGTCTGATACCAGATATACTTGTTCTATAATCAGTTACCGTGATCCATGGTTTAACAAATTTATCTAACAAAACTTCACCCTGTTTATTTACGATAGAAACTCGTGCCAACATGTCGTCTTGACCGTTGTGGCCCACACCAACCATCTCACAATCAATAGCTACATATTTATTTCGTTGAGCAGCTTTACGTTTTTGTCGTAATCGAGCAGATTTGCTTAGCGGTCGATTGTTTTCAGAATTGGGATGTTGATCATGTGCTTCGTGATGTTCAGATTCTTGTTCTCGAGCCAATGAATTACGGCGGGAACCACATTGTGAATCCGAATTATTTCGAAGATGGCAGATTTGCTGTTTTGCATTGACCCTACTACATGATAAAATTGATTGCATTTGTTGTTGCAGCTTATCGATGCTTGTAATTGCCTCCTTATGTTTTGATTGATTGTTTGCAGCAGTTGTTGCTTGAAGTGGGCTCTTTGATTTTAATAGTTGGCAATTTGAGTAATCATGCTGCTTTTGTTTTACTGATCCTCCATCGCCTGCACCTTCTACTTCAAAAAGTTTTGTTTTAAGATGTTGTTGTTCCAATTTACGTTTTGCATCTCCTTTTTTTTTACTGTTGCTAGCACTTGCATGTTCATTACTTTTTTTTTGTGGATTAGAAGTTTGTTGGGACATAGCTTGCATCTGTGCACCTCACGCTTTAAATTTTGGTTTTGTATTCTTGGGCACTTTAGAAATTTTAGTAAAAGCTGTCCTGTAAGTTTTTTTTTAGTTTTCAGTTTTTTTCTTTTTTATAAAAGTTAAACTAAAAAACTAAAGTTAAACTGAAAGTATATGAAATTTGACAACTCAATCAAAACACATATGGCCAATTTACATAGAACTTTTTCTTCGCCTTGCGTCAGGCATTTGTTTTGACAGAAAAGCTCGATTTAGGCTTTTGTATGAGTACGTTCACATAAAAGGTATTCGCCGCGAAGCCAAACAAAATATTGAAAAATTCTCATCTTTTCACGTTTTTGTTTTCGTTCACATGAGGACACTGTTGTGTTTTGGTGTCGCCAGAGAACGTAAATGAATAGAGAAGGAGCAAATGTTAAATGAAATCTTTTTGAGTACTAATTTGTAGTTCCAGATGAGGGAACATCGAAAAATATAACTTCGAAAAATAAAAATACACCAC